AGCCTATTATTAACGATAATCGGGTTGAGTGGTAGTTATACACTCAGTACAATATATTAATTTTGGAATTTTGAATATTATTCACCATATCTTGATGTCCGATTGCGCATATTCCCGGTCGGACAATTTTGAAAGTTCAGAAAATAGCGTCGGACATGTCCGGAATATACGGGCAAAATCCCATCACTGGTTATGCCCCTTTATTTTAGGGAAAACATTTCTGACAAGAAATATTTTGAAATCCCATCACTGGGCTATGCCTATGTGTAACCTCTCTCTCTGATTTAGATACATGTACACATTATAAATATATACATACATACATAATTACATAAATATACAACATATAGGATACATAATGGATAATATCGAGACTTAGATGATTGTTCAGGGCTTGAAAAAACTTAAGAGTTGTTTTATATATATTTAAATCTTTTTGATAAGAGAATAAATTGTTGGACTTCTTGGAAAATAAGTGTGTTTATCTCAGGACTAAACTTTGTTGACCCATACAACTGTCAACTGATTGTTTTATGAGTTTGTTGAAGGTTATGGATTGTCTGTTAACTCTGAATATAAGTGGCATACGAATAAATAGTGTTCGGGATCTTCGAATTTGTGACTGCAGAGGCAAGCAAGGCTATACCCTGAAAAATAAGGTAATTTTGGAGAAATCTGAAACAGGTACGGATCGGCACGCTTTCATTCTATCCTATTACGACAACACGTAATTTTGTAGGAATATTACGGACATAACGTTCACTACCCCCTATTGTGTAATTAATTTGACGAAGTGACGAAGAACTATGTACTATGTTCTAAGAATAGGTTGAGGAAAATACCTCCAAGGCGTTATATTACGCCCTACACACAGTGAGTGGCAGTTGTCCAGGACGTAATATAACGTCCTACACATGGTGCAATCGTGAGGGAATTCCCAAGGGATTCCCCCAAGTGACGAACTATGTTCTAAGAATAGGTTGGCAAAAATACCTCCAAGGCGTTATATTACACCCTACACACAGTGAGTGGCAGTTGTCCAGGACATTATATAACGACCTACGCACTTCACGGGTTAAGTATGAATTTGCATATTTTGTTGACACGTGATTTTTAATTGTGGTTTGAAAACATCTGCTTTCAAAATAGTGATAAGCGTTATGCCCAGTGATGGGATTTCAAAATTTTTCCTTGTCGGACATTTTACCGAAAATAAAGGGGCATAACTCTTATCGATATATAAACAGACGGATTCATACCACAATTAAAAATCACGTGTCAACAAAATATTTAAATGCCGTACGTAATAACAATAGGTGAACCTCTCTATTTTTCATATTTAATTCCCGTACGGTAATCAAATATATGTCAGTAACATTCCTTCAGCGTATGGCGTACGTGACTCATAGCACATAGCTTTATAGTAAGCACTGTCCCATAAGCGATTTTCGTTCGGCAATCGAACATGTCAATCACTTGTCAACAAAATATTCAAATGTCGTACGTAATAAAAATAGGTGAACCTCGCTATTTTTCATATTTAATTCCAGTACGGTAATTAAATTTAACTCAGTAACATTCCTACAAACTCCTGCTTCGGCATCAAATTCACAATAGTATGCATTACGTGTCTTTGTTTATACGGCAGCAAATGAATGTAGAACTTCCGGAATAAGAATCGTTTTCTTTACGTCAACAAAATATTCAAATCCGCGCGTAATTAAAATAGGAACACCTCGCTATTTTTCATATTTAATTCCCGTGTGGTGTTCAAATTTTTGTCAGTAATATTCCTATAAAATTACGTGTTTTCGAAATACGATAGAAGGAAAGTTTGCCGATCCGTAACTACTTAATTAAGCTTCCTTCAGCGTATGGCGTACGTGACTCAAAGCACATAGCTTCATCGTAAGCACTGGCTTGTAAGCGATTTTCGTTCGGCAATGGAGATCGCTGGAAAGTGCCACTGTTGATGAGAATTTCTATATGGAGCCTTAAAAGACGTAAAAGATATCGTAGCCAAAATGACTACCCATTGATTTGGGGTGTTATATACATGTACTCTAATGATATGTGACATCTAAGACTAGTTTATACATGCTTTGATTAAAATCTAATCGCTCTTATTGGATTGATGAATAGCCCGACAAAGGAGAAGCAATGACATCTGTTTAAGATTAGATTGATGAATTGTCCGATAAAAGATTAAGCCAGTCAATCATGGCAGATTAAATAGTTAATCAAGGTGGGTGTATAGACAGTATAACACGATAAATACGTTAATCACTTAATTACCTAATCAATCCAGCCTATTATTAACGATAATCGGGTTGAGTGGTAGTTATACACTCAGTACAATATATTAATTTTGGAATTTTGAATATTATTCACCATATCTTGATGTCCGATTGCGCATATTCCCGGACAGACAATTTTGGAAGTTCAGAAAATAGCGTCGGACATGTCCGGAATATACGGGCAAAATCCCATCACTGGTTATGCCCCTTTATTTTAGGGAAAACATTTCTGACAAGAAATATTTTGAAATCCCATCACTGGGCTATGCCTATGTGTAACCTCTCTCTCTGATTTAGATACATGTACACATTATAAATATATACATACATACATAATTACATAAATATACAACATATAGGATACATAATGGATAATATCGAGACTTAGATGATTGTTCAGGGCTTGAAAAAACTTAAGAGTTGTTTTATGTATATTTAAATCTTTTTGATAAGAGAATAAATTGTTGGACTTCTTGGAAAATAAGTGTGTTTATCTCAGGACTAAACTTTGTTGACCCATACAACTGTCAACTGATTGTTTTATGAGTTTGTTGAAGGTTATGGATTGTCTGTTACATCTGAATATAAGTGGCATACGAATAAATAGTGTTCGGGATCTTTGAATTTGTGACTGCAGAGGCAAGCAAGGCTATCATCGACGTATCTGACAAAAGTTAATATCCTATCTGTAGGAAATTTATCTCCATCATTTAAATTAGTGGAACGAAGAAGCCTACTGAATTTCAGCTATTTCCGTTTATTACGTCTAGAGTGATGGCTCTCTTTCACTTTGTTGCACCTTGTGAACGCTCTAACGACCAAAGTTATCCCATCTGTATGAAATTTATATGCATAATTTAAATTAGTGAAACAAAGAAGCCTATTGAATATGCAACAACCCTTGTCGACTGCTCAAACGATTTAGCTGCTGTGTGCATATGTTTCATTGCCTATCAACCTATCTTTTATTGGTTGAAAAAGAGGTCATCGGGAAAACCATGGTCATATTTATAAACTAGAGATTCCCCGCTTCACAATGAAGCCTAGGGGATTGATCAGTCGTCCCGCAAAAAGTGGAAGAAAAAACAAGCCAACAGTGAACCTGATGTCCCAAGCCGAAATCCCAAATGAAATAGATGACACATATTAATTAATCGAACATTTATTTTTTTTTTCAAAAGTATCAAGCAATCAAACTGATTATCAACTATACACCAAGTTTCATCACTCTCTATCAGATAGAATTAAAGTTATCTGGTCCCAATAAAACTACTTAGCTCTGTTTAACTTTGCTCGAAATGTTAATCATTGAACTCAGTCAAGATACTTTAACTAATGAACATCAACATCAAGTTTAAACATTCTAGCTCAATTAAAAGCAGAGTTGTTATGTTCCAAAGTCTTGACCAATCAAATTGCTTATCGATCCTTAGCCTAAGCAGAAAATTCTCATCATCGAACTTAGTCAAGGTAATGATATAATGAATCTATACTCGGAGTTTCATCACTCCCACTTAATTAAAACCAAAGTTATTGACCTTAAAGCATCAACCAATCAGATTGCTTATCTCTGCTTACCGTATGCAGACAATGTTTATCATCGAACTCCATCAAGGCATCCGTCTAATGAACACTTACACCAAGTTTGAACATTCTACCACAACTAGAATGAGAGTTATTGTGTTCCAAAGTCTCGACCAATCAATTTGCTTATCGCTCGGCTTACCCTGAGCAGAAAAAGCTCATTATCGAACTTAGTCAAGGTATTGATGTAATAAAAACTTGTACTAAATTTCATCACTCTCACTTAATTAGAACTAAAGTTATTGTGTCCCAAAGCATCAACCAATCAAATTGTTTATCTATGCTTACCCAAAGCAGAAAATGCTCATCTTTGAACTTCATCAAGGCATTCACCTAATAAACACCTACACCAAGTTTGAACATTCTAGCTTAATTAGAAGGAGTGTTATTGTGTTTCAAAGTATCAGCCAAACAAATTGCTTATTGCTCTGCTTACCCTGAGCAAAAAATGTTCATTATTGAACTTAGTCAAGGTAATGATGTAATGAAACTATACACCAAGTTTCATCACTCTCACTTAATTAGAACTAAAAATATCGTGTCCCAAAGCATCAACCAATCAAATTGCTTATCTCTATTTACCTTAACCAGAAAATGCTCATCTTCGAACTCCATCAAGGCATTGACCTAAGAAACACCTAGCTCAATTAGAAAGAGAGTTATTGTGTCCAAAAAGGTGTGACGGAAAGACAGACAGGCGGATGGACTCATTTTAATAGTCCTCTGCTTTCTTCGAAAGGCGGGGGACAAAAAACCTAATTACACAGAGAATTTTAAGACAAAAGAAAGATTTATAAATACAGTACTCTTACAAAACATCCAAACAAAGGTGTTTTAAAATGTTTTATGGTTATTTTGATCTTTGGGGTTGATAGATAGTATATTTATAGACTCATTTTTGTGAAAATTTCAACTTCGATCAAAATCAATATTTTCACTTGCTTTGTCTGTAGCTCATTATTCGACTTTGCACATTCCGACCCATTTTGCCAGCACTGGTCACATATACATAAATTTTATAAAGATCTGTTGTCTGTAGAGTGTTCACAACACATTGTGGACAACATATGGTGGTGACGGTAATATACAACCATGTGGGCGTATAACAATGAAACTTACTGTTGACTGATCTGTACTTCAGGTGGTTCACCAGTATGATTCTGTACAACAAGATAAGCTTTAGTTACAAACTCGATAACATTATCGTTACAAAATATAAAATCTCCCTTCTTTGAAAAAATATCGCCATTACTATCATGCTGAAATAAAATTTAGCATAAGACAGACTTCAATAAATAGGTACAATTTAGTTTTAAAAAACAGAAGATTACAGTGATTGGCAAGTTGCAATTATCAAATACAGTGGACTCTGTCACATCCGGCTTCTGAATATTACGGCATTCCGTGAAATCAGGCATCATTTTCATGTGTCGATTTATTTCCTTATTACTTTCAACCAAAGAAGTTGAGTAATCTGTATTCTGAATATTATGTATTACGACATCAATCAGCGGTCCCTTTATTATTATTATTATTATTTACACAATTTGCATTAATTAACATTGTATAATCTGACCTCCAATCTATCAGTGTTTACTTACAAAAGATAGACAAGCAATCACCAATCAATAATTGTGAGATTAATACTTGTGTTGATAACCTTGATATCAACATAATGACACACGAGTGGTTCCAACATTAAATTTTTGCTACCAAATACATACAACCGAAGAAGATTATACTTCCAGTAATCGAAGATACAATAATACTTCCAGTATTGAGTATTCCATCAGGCTGTCTTATCCGGCATATCTTAACAGTCCCGTACGATGTCGGATGTGACAGAGTCCACTGTAGTTAAATACTCTGATCATCATTTGAGTGATTTTTAATCCATGCAAACTAAACTATTGTAAAAATTGAATCTTTACAAGGAATATCAGACGAAAAGTAGATAAATTCTGTTGAGTATTTACAAAGACATGATGAATAGTGCTTTATTGAGAATCTAAATATAGCGTGGGAAATGCGTCCACATAGCAGCAATGTCTCAACAGCAGCTCATCTAAAATTTAATAAGGGATGTCTTGAAGAAATCTGATCGGTCTTGTTTACAAGCTTAACAGGGGTCTCGATAACCGGGTTCGGATCGAACTTTGCGAATCAAATCTTGCCTGTTGCTAATCAATTTGCTACAAAGTAGGTAACTTTATTCGCACAAATGCTAATCATAAATTTTGCTTATTTTATTTCTCGCATGGACTATTTTATGTCACCTTTCAAGTGTATAAAGCTGTGGACACTTTTTATAAGGATCTTTCAACATTTCTTCAACAGTTTATTAACGATCATCAAGTTTCTAATACCTATTACCATTCACGTCAATAAAAGCAAAGTTTTAGTGCCTCCTATATTACGCATAGTTAATTCCCCCTGATTTTTTTTTAATGACTGACAGGTGTTTTTTTGATAAAATAAAAATAATTCATTGATTTTCTTCACAAAATGGGATAGGTATTATGGAATACATAACAAAGGTAGGCACTAGTATTATTGCGGGTACCAAATGACATGTTTACAGAATTTATTACGGAGATTTGCGGCAGGGAATTTTCGACCGACAACAGCGATGTTCGTTTTAGGCTAATATGGCTGTCAAATTTACTGATGGTCCGATGTATCATCGATGCATTGCAAGTATCGATGTTAGCTCCCGATGCATTGATCGATGCATATTGTTTGGACTTTGGTGTTCATCCTAGCAAAAGGGGGATCACATGGCTAAGTGGGTAAGACGCTGGCTCGCTAGCCTGGAGGTCGGATGTTTGATCCCTGCATTGGCCGAGAAAGTTCATCCCGATTTTCCGGCGTGGTTTCCCCTTGTCAGTGATACAGGACGGAGGGCCTGACAAGGACAGCTGTCTAGTCGTTCGAATGGGACGAAAAACCGAGGTCCCGTGTACACATTGGCATGCACGTAAAAGATCCCTTGGCAGTTGGAATTCGATATAAGAGTAGGCCGTAGCGCCGCTGCCCGGGCAAAATTTCTCTCATAGCACACTGTATGGCGTATGCCCGTCTTCATTAGCCTAGGTCAGGAGCAGAACAGTAGGACATTAAACCCCATTTCATTTCATTTCTCCTATCAAAAGTCGCCACCGATCCCTTGATCCATAATGCAATTTTTCACCTGTCTAAGTTACTATATTTAGAACAACACCTAAGAGTTAAAAAAAATGGGGGTGTGGATCTTGAAATTGCTTTTGATAAAATACTTGTAAATCGATTGCTTATGAACCTATTTGGTTTTTTTATATCTTTATTAGGTCATTGTGCATAATTAGTGACATTAATTAGGGCATTATGCATAATGACGTCATAAGATCATGACCTCAAAAATGTTGTTCTGAATTACATAAATCCATACATACAATTATTTATTTTTATCTTCGAACTTTGGGACAACGAAAATAAGGGACATTTTGTCAATTCAGTTTGGGCATAAAAAATTTTTTTTCTAGGATTTTGAAACAGCAAGCTTTTAGTGCTGAAGTGTTCTAATTTTGGAACACATAAATTGTTATTCACAATACCAAAGAACACCTGGGAAAGGTGTTTTAATTATATTATATATACCAGTACAGACGAGCTATGTTACACAAGCTGAAGTTGAAGAACATACAAAGATCTTGTCATTAGTCATGTCAAGATAGAAGTGCAGTTTCAAACAAGGTGCAAGCCAGGTAAACTCATTAAAACAACTCACTAAACACAATACATAAACTTTATTTACATATAAACAACAAAACATTTATAAATTACACCCTACTACACTTACATGATATGGAACATTCAAGTCCATGTTTTCAGCAAGAACACCGCTTACTGTCACAGTTCACTTTGTACTTACATCTTATTATAGAAAGAATCGCTGACGGAGCAGGATCAATGTCGGTTTGGGTGGGTAGATATAAACCTTTTTCAATTTTCCATCCCCATAATGTTGCATCCATGACCGAGTCGCTTGTCCAATCTTTTATTTGAAGAAAAGCTCACATACAGTGAAACTTCGCATCAGACGAGGTTGGTGGCAGGGTATGGATTTCAACTGTTGAAGTATTACAAATGGACTTTTCCTTGAATAAACGATATCTTAGCTGATTGAGATTTTCGTCTTTTGATCCATTATATAGTTTTACAATAATATTTTCACCGAATCTCGTCACATCATCAGAACTAAGACACTTTTGGAATTTGTCGAATTCACCTTGGAGATAAACACTTGTTCGCACTTTCTTAAATACGTTGGCCTTTCAAACACCAAAGATTCTTGTGGGGGTATCACATCCAGTGAGCGCATGAACTGTGGGAAGAATTGAACAGATTTGCCGCCCAACAACATCTATTGTCTTTTGCATGCTCCAAACTTTAGCTTTATGAATTAAACCTGTACTTTTACCTGAACGGAACTGAAGTTTGTGACTATTTGGTATTGTACATGCATAATAACACAACAAGATTAATAAGTCTGTGTCTTCAACGATTAATGTAGTGGGGAAATTTAAGGTAGATTCCACAGCAGTTTTAACTATCAACACATCTGCATTGGATTTGGCCTGGATAACTCTGCAGCCTATACTTCCAAGGGTTAAAGATAACTTATCGATGAAGGATTGCTTGTTTTGACAATTGGCTAGAAAGTGGTCCTTTTTCCGAACGGAAGGGTGTATCACCAGTAAATAATACATTTGTGCTCATTATGCCTTTAGATCAACATTGGTGCGTTACATCCTTCGTTGAAGGGCCGGACATGTATTCGTCAAATACAATAGTTGGATATCCATATCTCGTATTAACATAGTTGGCATACAGTTGACAAATTTCAGAGAATGTCAATCCCCTAGACCAAGGAAGTTGATGTAAAAGTGAACCACCATCTACAACATACTTCATATCAGTGTCAGTTCTCTCATCCGCTGAACAATCACCCGAAGACCAGATAACATCTGCTAATGTAGACTTATGGGCCTCCCTCATACACCCACTTTTATCAAATAATGCAGAAGGAACAGAACTGAGTTCATATGAAAATACTTGGTGCATATCTTCAGTAATGCCTGTAGCAGCAACCAACAAGCGTTGAAAAAGTTGTGTGCTAACTCACACCGTTTCATTTTTTATTTTGAGAAAAGAATGTTGATCCATACTAATAACTTGCTTTCTCTTCTGAAAAGATAATTCCATACAGGTTGGTCCTTAATATTCTCTATAATGTCTTCTCCGACGGTTTTAGCCAAGTGAACATTTACATTGTCTTCAGCAGTTACCCCAGTCTCGATATTACGCAACATATCAATTTTTTCAAATGGATTTCTCTCTTTCAAAAAGTCGAAAACTGTAATTAAATCTTCTCTGTCTCTTTTTTGTTTTGAACCAAACATTTCCTTGTGTTGTTCACTGGACGAAAATGAAATCTCTGTGAGGGTTTGCATACTCGAATTAACTGCGGCACACATGGGCATAGCAAGCAACCATTGAACGCATTGAGTCTCTGTCATTCCTTTGCCCCTCGTCATTCCATCTGTGGATTTTAAGCTTCGCATTAAAGTCTGCTCAATAGCAAGGTCTGTAGACAAACCTGCCCAGAACCGATCACTTCTGCGCACTACATTATGTTCATCCATGAACTCCGTATATACTTTCGGGTGGTTACTAGGAAGTTCATATATTTGTTGCAGATATAGATAGGCTGACTTTACATATAAATTGTGACCTGTAGCTGCCAGGTAAGGAAGCATATCAGCATCTGTTTTGAGGTGTAACTCCCAAACTCCTGTTCTTTCGGCTTTAATAAACCTTTGTAAATATGTCAATGGTTTCCATATATTGAATCCACATACCTGCAGTAGGATATTGCAGAAGTTCTCCTTTGTGTCTTTCAAGCTTCGATCTAACATTGTCAAAGACAGGGTGACTGCTTATGTCCTCCATACCAATAGCCTTTCTCAACAGTTGATCATACAAAGAAGCAATAACACCAACGTCTTTATCTACATGGTTTTGTGAATCTTCTAGTTCTCTGTATTGGGGGGTAACAGATAAACCATATATATCTGAAACAATCAGCAAATTTAGTGCTGAATCAACTAGAAGATGTTCCCGGACAGCTCGAGAGATTGCCTTTCCACTAAACATGTGCTGTACAGCATTTGTAGTGTAAACCGTTTCCATTGCCTCTTGCAAGCCGGAAGACTGCATT